CACACACACAGGTCAGAGGTCACACACACACACACATAGGTCAGAGGTCTCACACACACACACACACAGGTCAGAGGTCACTCACTCACACATAACATACAGCTAACACTCAGCTATGCTGTGATGTCACTGAGCTGCTGTGCTGTGATTGGACAGGTGAGGACGGCTCAGCAGCAGGTGACAGGTTCATTCACGACAGAGACGTAGATTGGCTCCGACAGTGTGACGGTGAGGATCATTGATTATTGATTATCGTCTGTTGGTGTGATGGGCTGTGGGCAGCCTGTGACCTCTGACCTCTGTGTTACCTCAGTGGTGGTGGCGGAGGTCACGCAGCCGTCTCTGGGGGTTGGTTATGAACTCGGCCGAGTCGTCAACATGAAGAAAAAAACCTTGTGCCTGTTCAGGCCGTCAACAGGACGCGGTGAGGTCACTTCCTGTTTACGATCTTTACTAACTCTGTTTTATTTTCCAGTGTTAAAATCCATCATTTATGAAAGGAAAGGAGCCTCACTGCTTCCTAACTTACTGCTTCCTAACTTATCTCTCCTTTCCTAACCCCTTTCCTCACTCCTTACAGCTTCTCCTTCACATCTTTTCTTGACCTTGTGACCTTGCTCAATGAATCGTGGTTAGGAAAAGAGATTATTTTACGAATGCAGCTCTTATTTTCAAACATGTCATCACGCCAACATTTTTGACGGTGATGTTAAAAGCTAATGTTGAAATGCTGAAGACAAAATGCTAAAGTTGTAATGCTAATGCACGCCTTACACCTGGTGACTGACCTCTCTACTGATTGGCTCACAGACCTCAGGTGAACAGGTGAGGCCAAAAGGCATCATGCTAACTTCCTGTCTCTTTGCAGTTCTGTCGGCCATGATCCGAGGAGCGGACAACGGCGAGTGGTTTGTGGTGAGAGACTACAGCGAAGACGAGGTGGAGAACCGTCTAGCCGAGTTCTTCAACACGCTGAAGAGAACCTGAAGAACATCTGTTCAGCACAAAATGATCAATAAAGTTTACTGAAACAGTTATTGATGAATATG